AACCAAGAATTATGCATACCAAATTGAAACGAATCAGGCCCCAATCATTACACAAGACATCATCCATAACATGGAAGAGGAGAAACTCTGAAGAAAAGGAGGAATCCACGCAATCATACAGAAGTCCGCAATTACAAAGACAAAAACGGAGAAAGCCGAAACCAGAAATTTCTAGAGGGCCAGGAGAGAAGTCCCCACACACCTCAGCACCCCACGTGCTCTCACTGCTTCACCATCCTCCTCCGTATTTCGATGCAGGCAGTCCGTCGCCTCGCACCTACCAACAACCCAGAGCTGTCACCCCGCTTACCCCAAGTACGCACGCCGGGTTCGCCCGTGCTCCACAGTCCGTCATGGCCGCACGTCAACCGCACACACTCGCCACCAGCTCGTCAGATCGCCCAATTCCGAACTCACCTCTTTGCATACTCATACTCGTTAGCCGATCCTGTTGACCGTGCTAACTTTCCCAAGTTTAGATTAGAGAGCGGTGTCGGTCGCGCTTGCGAGATTTATAACTATTCGCATTTGCACGAGATAGCCGTGATTATGCTGAGGCACGGGGAGAGAGAACGAAAAGAGGTGCCTACAGTTGGCATGCCTGGGCCGATGCACGGGGTCGTAGCCACTCTCCCCATGCATCGATCAAGTCAAGAAAGGAACAAGAGCAAATCACAGTTGAGATTAGAAATAAGTCATGGTGGGAATGGAGTGCAGGAGAGGGCGCAGCAAAGCGCGCACGAGTAAGGAGCATCGCGCAGTTACAGAAAAGAAAAATACAATGTCCCCAAAACCCTAGTCTAATCAGAGTGACTGTCCTAATTCCAATTGGTCGTGCGGTCTCCCGCATTCTTTCCAAAGAGTTCAAAAATTCAAAAAGATTCCCCAGCACAATGATCGCGCCAAAGCTCCTTGCCCAAATTTCCCACAAGGAAGGAAAAAGCTGTGTCGCCCGTTATCCCTGCGCTCGCTAAGGCGCGTCCTGACCACCAACCGCCATGGAACCAAGGTCTCGCAAAACAGAGAGAAAAGAAAGGAAAAAGGGAATAGGGGCATTCATGCAATTGACCCTTAGGCCCATCTGACCCCCCCAGGGTTCAATCGTGCAGAAAGTCGCGCCCATCAGAAGAGAGATCGTCACAGCCCATCGTAATGCATCTGCCTCACAATACAAGACGATAGGGTTCTTCAACCGCCCATCAGCACGAGTACATATACACAGAAGTCGTCGTTCGTGCAACACACAACACCATAGTCTTTAGAGCAGGTTACACAAGCATTGTAGTCGGAACGCTGTACATACGACGTACAATAGGCATTGTAGCCCGAACACAATACATAGTACCAGGTTATACGAGGATCGTAGTTAGTTGGAAGACTGTACATATGACGCACGGCAGGCACTGGAGCAGTAATACTGCACATGATAGGTAGCACAACAAGGTACGACTGTTGTATATTAGACAGATAGTGTGTGGAAAGCAGTGGTGCACAACTTAGACACGGCTGACACACTAGACACGGTAGTTTCAAAGGTACTTTCAGCTCTTGAAACACACATCACCACATTGGAACAGGATCACAGAGAGTTGTCACTGCTAGCCAGGGCACAGTACACACGTGGGTAGAAACTTCTGAATCTGTACAGGGATGCTGGACCCAACTTCTGGCAGGTGGTGGTCCCCACCAATAACTGGAGCCATCAATACGGGGACCTGCTTAAACCACCAGTACTTTCTAAAGTAGTGCCCGTTAACAAGCCACGATTTAAGGAAACGTATAGGCCACTACAGGAGCGCCCCAAATCCTCCGACCAGATAGTGGTGGTTTAAGGGCGTTGCTGCTCTTATCACCCCGTTAAGCAGGGCCCCCAGTGCATTGAGTTTCAGGGAAAAAAAAAAAGAAAAAAAAAAAACCAGACGGACATGCATTATGAATGACCAGTCCCAAAAAGCAGCCCAACGGCTCTTCAACAGATTAAAATTTGTAGAAAACCCTTTTCTCTCTGAACAGGGTACTCTCATTCCGCCAAGATGGCCTGCTTGATCAAATACTTCACTTCAGCCCAGACTGTGGGGGGGTGTCAGATGAGAAAGATTAGCACATGCCCCTGGGGCCGGGACCCACTACCGTCTTCACTTGAATAGAACGCCCGGTCATCATAGCTGTATTTCCGTTTTTGGCACAACTTTCAGCCCAGATACGGCGATAATTACTGGCATTAGCGCCATAATATACAAACATAATGAGGTTTTCATACAAACATGGCGAGGTTGGCAACAGTGTGCCAAAGTGCAGTAGACAGTCCCCCCCCTCGTCCCCCCCCCCCCCCCCCCCCACACACACACACACAAAATGCTAATCTTGTCATATAGTTGTTTCAACACAGAGCAAGAACCGTTTCGGCCAATCCCTTCCCCCCCTCCCCCCCCTTCCCCCCGACCCCCCCACCACCACCACAAAATGCTAATCTTGTCGTGTAGTTGTTTCAACACAGAGCAAGAACACATGAAACGTTTCACGGACAAACTGCATGGCCTTTGTGTGCAGTCGGATCACTGAAGGAGGGTCTGATTATTGTGACCTGGAGGGGGGGGGGGGCAATATCCAGACGCTCATATAGTGATTCGAATGCACGCAAATTGTGTAATATACTGTCAGTGAAGACCTCCAGAGAATGCAGCCCATTGGCTGACGGAAGAACCCACCCTGAAAAAGAGGGGCCAATTCATTGGCTCCCCGTCCATTGGATCACGGGAGAACCCGGAGAAGGATTTTGCTTTTTTAATTCATAGAAAACGAGTTTTTAAACCACCAGTACTTGGGCGACGCTACGAGAATTTCGCTACCGGCGGGCCGTCGATAAATCGTATCGACAGCCCGCGCTGCTTCAAAAAAGGTGCGGCCGGCGCGGCGTGCCCAAGTACTGGTGGTTTAACACGTGAAAATTTTGGGAAAAACATTTTTCAAATGCGAAAGATGTCACACACAACCCAAGAGCCTATCTCAGTGGGTACACCCATGAACCGTTGAAATACAGACCCCTTTAAGTTCGATTCCAGATGATAAGTTCTGATAGAGACTCAGTCGACTGATGTAAAAAAGGGACGCTGGACCCCGTTTCCAGCAGGTGCGGTTCCCCACCAATAGACTGGAGCATCTTTTCAAAAAAAAAAAAAACAGAAAAGGCATCACACACCACTATACCCACGTAGGAAACTGTGTTAGTGGGTCCCCTGGGGCCAAGTCCCACATGCACCGTTGAACTAGCTCAACGCAAGGGTGTGACACGGTTTTTGCGACTTAAAAACTCAAAACAAAGGCAAAAAAGGAGAATCAAATGCCGCTGACAGCTTTTACCCCCCTATTTCCCAAAAAACAATGAATAACCAAATGCTACTGAAATCTTTGTCCGTATTTTCTAAAAAGTAAAATGGAAAATACAGCAATCCTCAGTGAAAGGCTCCGCCTACTAGGCAACGTGGGAGACAGGGACTCGCTAGAACATGAAATGAACGTAGACAGTATATCCTGGCTTGGTGCATTCACAAAAACGAGTTTGGGGCTGCACAGCCAAACACAGCATGAACACTCTCTGTCAGAGTGTCCTCCCACAGAATGTCAGAGCTTCCTCCCACGGCTCTGTCAGAGTGTCCTCCCACAGAGGGTCATGATGGCACAAGCACCCTTGAAAACCCATACCCCACTCCAAGTGGGGTATGTAGTTCAACGGAAGATGGGCAGGGTAGGGGGCGTTGTATTCGGGCGGAGGGATTTTTCAGCACCTTTTTTTTTTTTTTTTTCAGCACCTTTCTTTCTTGAACCATAAAACAAAAACGGAAGTCTTAAAAAAAATAATAATAAAAAATAAATAAATAAATATTAAAATAAAAAAAAAATAAAAATAAAAAAAAACAAAAAAAACGGAAGTCTTTGTATTTTATACACCTAAGAACAACCCCTGGATGTGCAGCTCCCGATGCATCTCGGCCGTCGCGTGGGGTCACACATGTTGAGCTAGCTAGTTCAACGATGAACTGGCTCAACGGTGTATGTGGGACTTGGCCCCCGGCCCTGACACACATACACACAGATAGAGAAAAATGGTTCGAATTAGAAAGGGGACAGGGGGGGGGGGGGGGAACCCCCCATACTGGATTTTGTTTCTACAGGCCGGAAAGCTCTTCGTCCTTTGTTTAGGGATTGAAATATGAGTACAATGTATTTGGAAGGGATGGAAATATATGCGGAGAATGTATTTGAACGTTCAAATGGATTACTTGGGCAAAATGGCTTGGACTTCAGTGCAGAGTTTTGTCTTCAGATTCCACACAAGGATTTTAAATTACAAGGCCTGGCTTGAAAAGGAAGCATTATGGTAAGATGTGTGCACTTCAGACAAGATTGGCACAAGTTTACACGCCGGCTGGCTGCCTTCTTCCCCCGAATACAACGTACGGTCATTATAGCTGAATCTAGACTGACAGATGCCTCAAATACAGCTATAATGACCGTGCGTTGTATTCGGGGGAAGAAGGTAGCCCATGTGTCTCTGTGGGCAAGTCTTCCAAGAGAGGGGATCTATTGAAATTGAAGAATCGTCACAATAGAGGAATACATATATATATATATATATATGACGATATATATATATACAGACTCCTTTTGGGTTGAAACTTCGTATACGGGAAACCTACCTAACGAGGTGATAAGAGAATCCGGGGTAAGTAGGACCCGGCGTAGAAGGCTCCATCTATATATATTCAGCCTCCTGATGAGTCGGTGAAACTCCGAAGAACCAGTTTGTCACAGCCCCTCTTTTGTTGTCCTCTTCTCCCTCTCGGCCTACGGTTTACCAGGCAGTTCTGTTGACACCATATATATATATCGTCAATATATATATATGCATGTATATTTTTTTATTTTTATTATTTTTTTCATTTTTTTATTTTTTCATTTTTCATTTTTCATTTTTTTATTTTTTTATTTTTTTTATTTTTTATTTCTTTATTTTTTTACTTACTTATATTTATCGAATTGTTCTGCAATGTGTGAGTAATTCTACGTGGACGTAAACGGTGGCCTAATGGAAAACAGTGGCCTAACGGAAACCGTGGCCGGCGTCCAGCCGATACTCCCCGTGGGATCGGGAACTGGCCGGCGTGCATGTCTTCTTTTTCTTTCTTTGGAAAGGTTGACGGCCTCGAGACATCATCGTGGCACCGACCGGCCGCAGATAACTCAAGAAATTTTGATTCGTCATCTGGATTCGAGCTTGGGTCTGTATTTCAACAGTTCATGGCTGTGCCAACTGAAGCGAAAAAAAAGAAAAAAAAGAATATAGAGCTACGCCCGTCGGTACAGACGCCTGCATGGCTATGGCGGTTCACGACGAAAGCGGCAGTGGCTCGACGATTCCCAGCCATGGAAGATCATTGGGATCGGGGGATAACACGACAGCGATGGCGTCAGCCTGCAAAGGCAGAAGACACTCAGCTCGACTCTCCGTCGACTGCCGAGCGATGTGCCTGACCGGCTGCTGGCCGTTGATTCTAAGTTCCAGCAACGATGCCGGGGAGGCTATGGAGGAGGAGGAGGAGGAGGAGACAGAGAGGGCGGGTATGACGCGCTGTGTCCAAGCATCTGGCATGGGGATGTTGTGACCGTAATCTCTGTCCGTCGTCTCTTCTGTCCATGCCACGTGTCCCGTCCTCCCTCCACGTCTGCAACATAGCGGTCTCCCCACCCGACAACATAGAACAGCCACGAGGAGAAGCAGCATCGGACCAAAAAGAACACAGAGGAAGAAGATCCCCGCTCGAGCTCGCAGCCCGTTCATTTGTGCTCCTCTACTCAGCGTTTCCACACCCTCGCCAGAGACCCCCCTTCCATTTCCACCCATGCCCTCGGTAGAATCCCAGCACTCCTTTCTATCCCTGAGAGGTATATACAACATGACATTAGAAGCACCTCCTCCTAAATACCGATTTGGTTGGCAGACACGTGGCACTGCATCCTTTATTGGCACTACAGTGATGTCCACTACAAATCCCGTCGCCTCTGTCGTCCTTATCCCCGGCGATGGAGTTGATACGGCTCCTGTTGTTGTTGATGATGACGATGACGTTGATGATGATGATGAGGAGGAGGAGGAGGGAAAGGAGGAGGAGGAGGAGGAGGGGGAGGAGGAGGAGGGGGAGGAGGAGGAGGGGAGGGGGGAGGGAGAAGGAGAGGGAGAGGAGCAGCTCACGGAGGAGGAAGATGTTAAGATTGCGGGATGTCCGCCGTAGCGTTCACCACAGACAAATTGCTTGATGGCTGAGGTCGAAAGATTGCATACGCCGGAGTTATTGAAGGGCACGAAGACGCCGTCTGTCTGTATAGTGTCGCTGGGGATTAGAACCGCTGCCGGAAGATTCGGATGAGTGTCGTTGATCCTTGTAATGGTGCACGTGACAGCAATCGTTCTAGCAGGTGAATTGACATGAAAGAAGCCAGCTTTACTTTGGGAATTTTCACAAGCCGTCAGTTGACCGCTGAAGACGCCCGTAGGCCAATCGAAGGACGTCAGCATCATTCCGCTACTAGCATCCGAAACAGTAAGCAGGAGAAGAAAGGTACGTGCAAGCTGACGTGGCCATGCACGTAAGCTCCATGCAAGCGGACGTGGTGCCCATGCGTGTAGGCTCCATGCAAGCGCACGTGGCAGTGCATGTAAGCTCCATGCAAGCGCACGTGGCAATGCATGTAAGCTCCATGCCAGCGGACGTGGCAATGGATGGCCGCAGAGAGAAGGAAATCCACGGCGGCGACGAGCGCCCCGAGAGAAGTAGTGCTCTCTTTCTGGAGAACAAACTAGAAAGAAACAAAAGTAAGTGGTATAATAATACCGAAGTAGCTTTTCTAAAGTTTCGAGGGACCACCCTCCAGCACTTCCCAACGTCGGGCAAGGAGTTAAGTGATCGGTGCAGTTCCGCGAACCCGTCCAGCTCAGCAAATCCGACCACGCCAGGCAATTATCTTCATCCCCGTCGCTCCACAGGCGTATGGCATCGTAACCCGCCAAACGCACCTCGAAAGGACCGCAGCATGACGTGCCCTCACGTGCCTTACCTCCTTGTCGTTGTCCTCCACCCCCTCCTCCATCGCCGGCCCCTCCTGCTGCTGCTTTGCCGTCGTCGTCGTCGTCGTCGTCGTCGTCTTGGCCGCCGCAGTTATCGTCATCGTCATCAGATGTTCGCTGAGGCTCCGAGACTGTTTGCATTCTCAAACTTGCCGTGTCCTGCTCTGTGGGAATGGCTTCTCCTCGTCCTGGCCCTCCGCTACCTCCCCCCTCCGCCCTCTACGCTCCCCTTCCTCCCCCCTCCGCCCTCCACGCTCCCGTACCTCCCCCCTCCGCCCTGCCCCACCTCCCCGCTGCGCCCTCCCCTACCCCTCCGCCCTCTCCCACCCCCGTCCTCCGCTTCCTCCGCCTTTCGCCCTCGACCCTCTACTACCTCCGCCCTCCCCTCGCCGCTCTCCTCTAAATTCCCCGCCTTCCTCCCCTGTTCCTGCTGCCAGAATCCTCTCCCTCGGCTCCAGCCGTCATTCTCCTCTTTCGTCTAACAAGCCTCCCGTAGCTCCACTACTCAGACCGTGCGGAACCAGAAGAGCAGCCTTGTTCCCCAGTTAGCCGGGGGCTACCGGTAGGTCGGAATTACCCAGTAGGCGGGTGGCTACCGGTAGCTCTGAATTACCAGTAGCACTCTATGTATCTCTACATAGCACGGACTCTACAGTTAGGGAGGGGCTACCAGTAGGTTCTTGATTTCTAACCGTAGATGACGGGGATCAATGGCCAGCGTCGAAGAATGCAGGCAAGTGGAGTCTTGCCCAGTTACTGGCCTGCAGATACATCCCGCCTGCCACGTCTGATGCCAGCGAAAAGATCTCGCTTTTTGCTCTTTTAGTCTTTTCCAACGGAGCTAGGTCTGCTGGCCTCAGGCAACATATACAGAGAAGAACCACCAGTCCGTTTCCAGCCATTTTTTTCGAGAGGCGGCGTGCATGCTGCCGCTCGCAGGACATCCATCCAGGCAAAACGGGTCACTCAGGACATTGCGACCCGTTTTGCCTATAGATGGATGCCCTGCAGAACCGCCTTGATGGATGTCCTGCGAAAAAGCACCGTCTGAGGCGGTAGCAAGCATGAGGCATCTCTGAAAAAAAGGCTGGGAAATGTATTGGTGGTGTAACATGCAAGGATGACACGCATAAATTGAGAAATGGTGCATTTTTCAGAAAACAATGGTCAATAAGGAAAACTGGCAGTTCTCCCAAATTCCCCAAAGAGTTAGGACGTAGCGGAGGCTCGGCATTGGTTGAATTTCTGAATAAAAAATACTTTTTTTCAGTTTGGGCCCAGCATTCAAACAACGGCAGGTCCAGGTTCGTTATTGGATGCTGGGCACGTAATGGAAACACTACCAAGCCCGCCTGGGACGTAGGCTGTTGGAAGCAGGCCGCTGGTCCGGTGGCGGCCTGAACGGCGGACGACCGGTTTCGCGGCTGCGCGGCATGCCTGGAACGCGAAGGATCGGCCCACACGCACATGCCGGAGTAGCGTTCAACGGTAGCCACCGCCATCGCCTCTGTGTGTGTGTGTGTGTGTGTGTGTGTGTGTGTGTGTGTGTGTGTGTGTGTGTGTGTGTGTGTGTGTGTGTGTGTGTGTGTGTGTGTGT